CAGCTGACAATCTTGCCTCATCCTTCACTGAAAAATTGAGGCCATTTGCTAAGAGCTGCCTCTTTTCTTCTTCTTCATCATATCACCTAACTCAGATATTTTCCCCCACCATCTCCTCCCTTTTCCTTGTCTCAAATGAATAGATGACCCTTCTCCTCTTCATGGCAGACCCATCTACATGCACAAGTGATCCCATTGTATCCCATCTTCTCCAGAATATTTCTTCCTCTACTGTTCCTACTTTCTAATTAATCTTCAATAGCCCTGTTTATTGTTTCCCTGATGATCACGAATACATCCATGTCTCCTCATCATTCAAACATTGTCCTATGCAAGGGGTTATAGAAGGGTGCTTAGACTAATGGGAATGGGAGGTATGGGAGGGATCTTTGGGGAGGTAGGTTAAGTAATAGGAGGGCAAAGTAGTGGGTAGAAGTAAAGTAGAAGAGGAAGGAGAGATAGGAAATAAGATATACACACAAACATAAAATAAAGATCAGGAATATAATTTGTAATGGAAAAAGGAGCATGGGTGGTAATCATGATCTCAGACAAAGTTAAGACTAAAATAGATTTAATCTAAAGAGAAAAACAGGGAGACTACAGTATGCGTCAGTCATATTTATCAACGTTGTTTTGGACTATTTAAATAGCTAGACAGTATAAGGTAGGAATATTGCTGTGGTGTAGGAAATGACAAGTTGGTGGACTTGGGAAAATATGGAAAGACTTGGACTTATGAGGGAAGAGGTTATCCACCCTCAGAGAAACAGAGGATAAATAAGTATAGTAAGGTCTTACATGGATACATGTGAATGTGTATGTCTATATACGACTATGATTATCAATTGCTAAGTATATTTATGTATATGTATGTTATGTACAGGTATATGTGTGTATATGTATATATGTATATCTTTGTGTATATATGCCTATATATGTATGTCTGTGTGTGTGTGTGTGTGTGTGTGTGTGTGTGTGTATCTGCACTTAATTGTAGCCTTCTGGCGGGGGCAGGGAAGGGGGATAAAAGAACAAAATAAAAAGTTCACAGCAGAGAACAAAAGAAAATTTACAAGGAAGCAAAGAAAAAATGGATAACTCCCAACACGGTGCATAGTATTTATTATATAGGCTTTTTCAAAATGGAAATTTATTGCTGTATATTTTGAATCTTCTCTCACATTCTACTGTGGACATAGCAATTTTTTTTTCTTTTCTCATTTTGTATTATTTTAGTTTTAGTATTTAAGTTTGTTTCTTTTTTCTCTTAATTTGTATTTAAGTTTAGAATAAAAAAATGACAAATTAAAAAACAAACAAACAACTGTCCTCGATTTCCAGGCAAAACTGATTGAGTAAGCCATTTATAATCAATGCCTTCACCTAATTCTCCTCTCATTCTCTTCTAAACTCTCTGTAATTTGACTTCTGACCTCACCATTCAATGGAAACTTCTCACTCCAAAGTTACCAATGATCTCCTAACTGCCAAATCTAATAGTTTTTTCTTAGTCCTCATCCTTCTTGAGCTCCCTCAGTCTTAGATACTGCCAATTACCCTCTTCTCCTTGATTCTCTGCTTTCTAGTTTTTCCTGGTTCTCCTCCTGACTGTCTGACCACTTCTCAGGCTCCCATGCTGACTCTTCATCCAGGTCATGCTCAATAACTGTGAGTGTCCAACAGGGCTCTGTCTTAGGCCCACTTCTTTTCACCCTCTATACAATTATGCTAAATGATCTCATCAGATCCCATGGATTCAATTATCACCTCTATGCAGATAACTCTCAGATTTGTTTAACTAGCCTTTTCTCCTATCTCCATTCTTACATCTTACACTGCTTATTGAACATCGCAGAATGTGTCCTCTATGTATCTTAAATTCAACTGGTTTAAAATCAAAATTCATTATCTTTACCCCCAAATCCTCCCTGCTCTCAAACTTGCCAATGACTGTCAAGGAAATTGCTATATTCCTAGTCACCTGGGCTTGTAACATAGGTGTCATCTTCAACTCTTCACTCTCTTACCACCCATATCCTATCATGTGCCACGTTGAGTTGATTTTGCAACATCTTTCATATATACCCCCTTCTATCCTCTGACACATCCTGGTGTAGGCCCTCATCACCTTACATCACCTCGCATCACATCACCCCACTATTTACAGTAGCCTACTATAGTTGGTCTTCCTTAGATTTCTCCCTACTCCAATCTATCCTCTACTCAATTGTCAAAATGATTTTCCAAAAGCATGGGTCTAACCATGTTACTCCCTTATTCAATCAACTCCAAGGGCTCCCCATTGCTGCCAAGATCAAATAAAAAATCCTCTATTTGGAGTTGAAAGCCTTTAATAACCTGGCTTCTTACATTTTTCAGCCTTCTTACCTTTACTCCTTCCATGTTCTCTATGATCAGGTGACACTGACCTATTATTCCACACACAATACTTTACCTCCCAATTCTGAATTTTCATTGGTTGTCCCCCTGCCTGGAATACTCTTACTTCTCCTCTCTGCATGCTAGTTTTCTTTAAGTCTAAGCTTGAAACTTTCTGCAAGAGGCCTTTCTTTACCAGTCCCCCTCAATATCTGTGCCTTCACTCCGAGATCGCCTCCAAGTTAGCCTGTATATATTTGCTGTAAATAGTTATTTTCATGTTGTCTCCCTAACTAGAATGAGGGCTCCTTGAGGAGAGGGACTACCTTTGTCTTTCTCTGTGTTCCCACAGCACTTAGCATAGTGCCTATAGTAAGCATTTAATATATAATATATATTATATATACAATATGATATGAAATATAAAATATATTTTATATATTATAATATATGGCATATAGTAAGCACTTAATGCTTATTGACTTGCTTTATTCACTATGCAACCTAGACGATATGGGTTCATTTGGTGACATCCATGGATGACCATGTCTGCGTGACTTTACTAACAAGGTTTACTCAGAACATCTGACCCTGACCAAATAAAACTGGATTGAGCTGGTTTCCTCCACTTTACTGCATGTTACCTATAGGACCCAGCTGGTGGTGTGTTCTAGCTCTAAGGACAAACGCATTGAATACCCTTACTCTTCCTATTTATACAAAGGGCTTGGGACCCCAAATTAAAGAGTTGGCCCTGGAATCATGTGACAATTCCCTACATGATGACAAAAGACACCCGTAATTCCCATTTCCAGAAGGGAGATATTTCTAGACACATCTCACCATCCTTGGTATTTCTGACCACATGTTCAACCAACCACAGGCTGAAGCAGGTTCCTTTCATCCTCTAGCCTGAAACAGATGTTTTTTTCTTTTTTTTTCTCCCCAGTACAGCCCTCATGCTTTTTTGTCTAGAGTTTTTGTACAAACTGCTTAAATCCTTTCCCTTCCCTTGGTCAACTTGTAATCCCCAAGATGTAGGGTAGATCAAACATAGAAACACTTCAAAGAAGGCCTTGAGCATTTCATGGACGACAGATGGGGAGGGGCTTTGGGGAAACCAGGATCAGAGTAAAGTGTTTTTGTTTCTGTTTTTGTTATTTCAAAAAGAAAATAACTTGGGCTTGTGTGGTTGAATCACTCCCTGCCTAAAGCTGCTAAACTTTGGGGGTAGCTATCATGCCCAACCACACCGCGTCCTTTGATACAAACATCAGAGACAGAATGGTGGGCTGAATCTGACCATCTGGCTTGTCTTGTGTTCTTAGAAGTCATGAGTCGTATTGCAAAGTTAGCTCTGGACTTAGCATTTGATGACCTGGGTTCCAGTTCTTGTTCAGCTTCTCCTTGAGGAAATCTTATTCTTTCTTGGTCTCAGTTTCCTCATTACAAGATATTCTTGTAACAATACTAACCGTACCTCCTCCTTCCTTAGCCTTGCCCTTTGAAATCTTTCTTTTTCTTCAAAGCTCAGCTCAGAAACTTCTTCCTTCCTGAAGCCCTGCCTGATTCCTTCAGTTAAAGAGATTTTTCCTTTCTCACATTTGCCTGGAGCACTGTGTCTGGATTTGTCCTTTACTCCTATTACTCTCTACCTCGATGCTCAAACATTTATGAGAAACATGCTATTCTTTACTGTGAGGAATGATAGGAGATATTTGCATGCTATTATAGTTTTAAGTACAATAGAAGCAAGACAGTCTCCCATCTGCACATATGACATGTATAAATTCCATAGAATTACTGGCACACAATTTTAAAACACTAGCATGTGTACGAGAATCACCACTCTATCTTGTATTATAGATAGTTGTGAATATGTTATAGCTGTCCCACCCTGATTCTTCTCTCCCCACCCCTTATTCCTCCTCCCCAATAGATTATAAATTTCTAGTCCTGGATCTGGAGTTAGACACCCTGGGTTCAAAGGATCTCTGACACTTACTAGCAGATTCTCTATCATAGCATTGATTCTCAAAGGATATACCAAGAGAGTTCAAGTGATAGTTAGGTGAACACAGTGGATAGAGAGCTGGACACGGAGTCAGAAAGACCTGAGTTCAAATCTACCCTCAGATACTTACTAGCTTTGAGACGCTGGACAAGTCACTTAATCTCTCTCAGTTTCCTTATTTGTAAAACAGGGATAGTAGTGGCATTACCTTCTAGGGTTGTGAGGATTAAATGAGACAATATTTGCAAAGTGCTTCACAAATCTCAAAGCTCTTTATCAATGAGAATTAATAAATGTCAGCTGGTCCTACCAAGTTTGAAAGGTGTCCCAGTAGACTTAATGTAGGTCAGCTGAGGATTAACCTTCTAAGTTTGGAAAGATCATGAGGTTGACCAAAGGGACAAAGACCACTTACTAAGTCAAGGAAAGGTGATCCCCAATGGAGGACAGAATGTGTACACTTTACAGATTCCTGAAATTCTAGAGGGCTAATTTTATTTAAAGAAAAAAAAAAAACAAAAAACCAAAAACCAGGATCACCCAGGATTCAAGAAACACATTCTCTCCACAAGACCAGCTATTTCTGGCCAAATGGTCACCTTACCTGTTCTGAGAGTAGGTTTCAGGCACGTAGTACATGTAGATGTTTCCTCGGGCTTCCCTTGCCCAGTGGTTGGCCATGTCAATAATGGGACAGTTGATAAAATAGTCTCTGGAGCAGGAGAGAGAGGAGAGAGAGTCTGTTAGAGTCCATCTGGGTAGTCACACTATGGATGCAGTAGCCCTTCCTAAAATAATGGATGTCTCTTTTTGAAAATGAGGGCCCTTCACCATTCACACCTGTGCTTTACCACATGTGTCTTTAGTGCCATCCCAAGAGAACTGGTCTGCTCCCCAATCCCACCCTCACCCCCCACTCACCACCAGCACTACACTGTATCCATTCCCTCAAGGAGGGCCAAATGCTGAGGCCACAGAAGAATATTCCCAAAGATAAACAAGCAACCCCTTCTATACAAAACCTTTCCTGTTCCTTATAGCCATTAGTGTCCCCCACCCCCAACAGAGCACCCCAACTGCTCTGTTGATATATTTATCTGTCTACATGCTATCACCCTTGTTATAGAATACAAGCTCCGGGAGGGCAGGAGTTGTTTTGTTTTTGAATCTCCAGTGCCTGGCACATAGTTTTGGCTGGACTTAGATAATAATAATAATAATAATAGATGATGATGATGATGATGATGATGATGATGATGATAGCTAGCATGTATACTTTCCCTTAAGTTATACAAAGTGCTTTATCTCTGAGCTCATTTGATCCTTATGACAACCCTATGAAGTAGGTGCCATTATTATCCCCATTTTACAGATGAGCAAACAGACACAGAAGAGATTAAGTGACTTGCCCAGTGTCTCAAAGCTAGTAGGGATCTAAGATTGGATTTTAATTCAGGTTTTCCTGACTCCAAGTCCAACACTTGATCAACTGAGTCAATTAGCTGCTTAATAGAGTGTTAGACTATTGGATTGAGTGTTGAGCTTGAATTATAATCCTAAATTCTACCTCACATCCTGATTACATGTGTGGAAAGTCACTTAACTATTTCAAGCCTCAATTTCCTGAGCTGTAAAATGGGTAATTATAGCAGCTTCCTCACAGGGTTGTTGTGAGGATCAAATTAGTTAATTTATTTAAAGCACTTTGGGAATCTTAATGTGCTATGTAAATGTAAGTTATTATCATGATTTTGAGTTGGGAAAATTTCATTTATTATATTTACATAGTAAGTGCTTAATAAGTGTTGATTGATTGAATGATTAATTAAAGGAAGGACTTAAATAAATATCATTAAATGAGTAACTGAATATGAGAGCCAGTTCAGGGATGGTTACATTGGTTCAGCACTATAGGAAGCTGGAATGTGCCCTGATGGGGTCTATCATTCTATCTACTATTTTGGGTGGCTGATACAAATACAGTGGGAGTAAACTTGTAATATAATTTGGAATGTTTCTGGGCAAGGAGAGAGGCTGAGAGTAACAGGAAACAGGAAAAAAGCAAATCAGCAATGCAATATTTATTGAGCATAGTGCTGTACACCTTTGCCCTGGTCACATCATTTCTTGAATATTGCATTCTGTGATGAGTACCACATTCTAAACAAAGCTTTGATAAGCTGGAGAAGGTCCAGAGGAGGGAAATCAGGAGGGTAAAAGAAATTGAGATCATGCCTTATGAGGGTTGGTTGACAGAAAAAAGGATATTTAGCCTGAAGAAAACAATATTTAGGGGAGAGATCAAAGCTGTCTTTGAAGAGCTGTCACATGGAAAAGAGATTATATTTGTTTTGCTACGACTGAGAATGCAGAACAAGGAGAAAATAATAGAATTTTCAGAAAGGTAAATTTGGGCCCAATGCAAGGAAAAACCCATGATCAATTGGGACTATGCAAAATAGAATGGGCTGCCTTAGGGAAATAGAGGGGTCCTCATCATTGGAGGTCTTTAAGTGAAGGCTGGAAGATTTACTGTTGAGATTGGACTTGTTTAGGTTGGATTAGTCTTCTAAAGTCACGATTCTAGGGTTTTATATAATAGATTTGATATTATAGAAAAAGTGTGATACTTAGAGCCAAAGGTTAATCACACAAAGGTTTAATCACAGCCTCTGACACCTACCAACTTAAGTATCATTTAGTAAGTGACAAACTCTATGACCATCAGTTTCCTTGTTTGTCAAAAAAGGGGATAATAATTCTTGCATTTCCTACCTCACAAAACTATTGTGAAGAAAGTGATGAAAGTACTATAGTGCTAAAAAAAGTACTATATAAACATAATGTTGTTGCTATTGCTATTATTGGTAGTAATAACATAAGATATATAGTACAGTAGAAGAAACAATGAACCTGGATCTTGGTTAAAATCCTGGCTCTGCTACTTATTAGCCACATGATCTAAAGCAAGTCACTTTAATCTCTTAGATTAAGAGACTGGCGTCGGGGTGACCAGGAAAGGCTTCATGCATTACATAGTTTTTGGGCTCAATCTTAAAGGAAATCAGGGATTTCAAGAGATGGATGTGTGCAGGGAAGGCTTCCCAGAGAAGGTGGAATATGACCACCATCCTCTCAGTCACCCAAGCTCAAAACCTAGGTGTCATCCTTGATTCCTGTCTCTTTCTCACTCTTCCCCCAGATCCAATCCATTGGAAGACTTGTCAATTCTACCTTCATAATATCTCTCATACACACCCCCTTCTAGCCTCTGACACAGTCACCACCCTAGTGCAGGACCTCATCACTTCCTGCTTGGACAATTATGGTAGCCTTCTGGTTGGTTCCCTGGCTCAGGTTTCTCCCATCGTCCACCCAGCTGACAAAGTCATCTTCCCAAAGAACAAGTCTGACTGTGTCACTTCTCTACTCCAAAAACTTCAGTATCTTCTGAATGCTTTGCTATAGGTATCAAATGTAAAATCCTCTATTTGGCCTTTAAAACCCTTCAGAGCTTGATTATTCCTTTCTTTCTGGTCTGCTTATACCTTGGTCCCCTCCATGTACAGTGACAATGATCTTCCATCTGCCAACCCCGTGAATTTTCATTCACTGTCTCCTAAGCTTCAAATGCTCCCCCTCCTCATCTCTTCCTGCTGGCTTCCTTTCAGGTCTCAGTCAAATCCTATGCTCTTCAAGAAGCTTTTCCCGGGCCCCCTCGTGCCTTCTGTCTGAGGTTGCCTCCAAATAACTCTGCATATACCTTGTTGTTTATATGTTTTCTCTTTCATTAGATTGTGAGCCTTGAAAGCAAGGACTATCTTTGCCTTTCTTTGTATCTCTGGTGTTTAGCACAGTGCCTAGCTAGCACATAGAAAACGCTTTTTGGCTAACTGAAACGGATTTTGCAGGACAGGTAGTATTTCTATAGGGGCAGAAATATGGGAAATGAAAGAACTTTTCAGACGACCCAATGACCACACCCATCACTGTGGCTTGGTGTTCCATCTACCATATTCATGTCAGTCTGGATGTGTCAGATAGGTTGCATGAGGGGTGTGCTGTTGCATTCAGCTATACAAGCTGATCCCCATCTGTACTGGGGTCCTTAAAAGGTGTTTCTTCCATTGGCATTCATAAATGAATGAGACAGACAGAGAGAGGAGGGAAGAAAATCTGTGGGTCGTGGCAGAAGCAAATGCAGTAAGGCATGAGAAAGTGTAAGACAGAGTCAGAGGGGGTCAGGAATAGACATGTCTGGTTACAGCAGGAGGTTCCTTGAGAAAGTGTTCAGCCTTCTCACTTCTGATCTCCTCCCGGTATCACAGCAAGTATTTGGAATTGTTAGATTTCCACCCCTCAGGCATTCTGGATTCCTGCCAGTCTATAGCTGTTACCTATACCTTGGAAAGAACAAATCAGTCCACACGACCAGATGGTGCATTTTCCATGGTGTGTGTGTGTGTGTGTGTGTGTGTGTGTGTGTGTGTGTGTGTGTGCAACACAGTTTCTTATGGAAAGGATACTTGGAATAAGTGTAGAATTTCCCCACAAGATGGATCTAAAGAGATCATACATTGCATTTAAAGCTGGAAGGGACCTTAGAAATTATGTAGCCCAACCCCTTCAGTTTACAAATGAAGAAACAGGCACAGAGAAAGGACAGATATTGTCTAGGTCACCCAGTTAATAAGCAATGAAAGTATGATTGGAACTGAGGACCTCTGACCCCAAAGCCACTATTCTTTCCACTGTCATTCTCTTTTCTCATGCCTCTTTTCTATATTCTTCTTTCTTCTCAACAATGGAAGCTATGCCAATTACCAAGATTATTCCTAATAATAATGGAATCTGGGCTATGATGAACTAAGAAAATAATTATCAATAATACTTTTATGTAATATTCTAAAGTTTGCAAAGGCCTTATATGGTAGGTACTTAATAAATATACGATTGATTGCTATACATGGTCCTATTATCTACAGATATTATTACGCTAATTTTCTAGATGAAGACACTAAGGCTCATTGAGATAAAACAAGTTGCCCAAGGTCACTGAGCTAGTACATGTCTGGATCAAGATCTAAATCCAGGGCTTCCTTCCCCATCCAACAGCCTATTCGTTGCACATTTTGGTGCAATGGAAAGATCCCTAAAGGACTTCTGTTCAAATCTAAGCTTTGCTACTAATTTTACTTTGGGGAAAAATTTGCTTTACCCTCTGGGCCTTGTTTGTTTGTTTTTTTAATCTGTAAAATGGGTTGGTTGGGCTAGCTTTCTAAAATCCCTCTGAGCTACTGACTAAAGTACCAGAGTGAGATGATTCCTCTAATACTGTACCTAACACCTCAACAGACCTGATACATGTGAAGATTAAAATATTTTAAAGAGATTGTATTCCAATCGATGCTATCCTCTGGGAGACAAGAAGAAGACAACTGTAAAATTCCTTCCAGAATGTGGAGGGACTCCCCAGAGAACCTAGTCTCCTACTTGAGTTGCAATCACTAGCCATAAGTGCCTGCAGAGTCCCGTTTCAACTTGTAGGATACATATACCTGCTCTATGATGAGTATTTAAAACCAGTGTTAGATGGCTCTTGTCCTGAATTAATAGTCAAATTGCAGTGGCCCTGGTGTGTGAAGCAGGAGATAATGTTCCTAGTCTTTTTACTTATATGAATTTAATTCTCTCTTCCCTTGTGTCCAAAACCTTACTTTTTGCACCCATCTGCTCAATCTACATCCCTAAAACCCGGCCTTTGCCCAAATTGTGTATGTTGACTGCCTCCCTCCAGGTTGGCCTAAAGCTGCACCTTAGTCTCAGTCCCTGGATTCATGGAAATATTATTCTATGGTAATTGACTCATTACTTGTGTCCATGTCAGCTCCTAGATCCAGCTCCCTATGCCCCCAAAACCACCATGCCCCATTAAGCTTGGCCTGTCTCTGTATTGTCCCATGATTGTGCTAATGATTTCCATTTCATATCTAAGTCCCCCAAAGCTGGAAGAGAATGTGTTGTCCAAGGCCAGTCGTAAATAGCTCCAGCACCATAATTGCATAACCTTTCAGTGTGGCACACTGGAAAGAGTACCAGGTTTGGGTATGAAGTTCTGGGTTTGAATTCTGGCTCTGTAGCTTACTACTTAAGAGGCAGCTGGAAATAATATTCACAATTCTTATATTTGTAGTTAGGAAGACCCGGATTCAAATCCTGATTCTGACACTTAAAAGCTGTGTGACCGTAGGCAAGTCACTTAAACTTCTGTGCCTCAGTTTCTTTATCTGTCAGATTGGTAATAATGATACCTGTAAGTGTAAAGACAGCCTCCCAGGGTTGTTTTGAGGCTCAAATAAGTAAGGTGTCTGCAAAGCACTTTATAAACTTGACAGCACTATATGCATGCTGATTTATTATTATTAATATTATTATTATCACTGCGTGACCTGGAGAAAGTCATTTAATCTCCTATACCTCAATTTTCTCTGCAAAGTGTAAGGTGGATGAAATTATCTCTAAGTTCTTTCCCAGCTTTGAATTCTATGATGTGATGAGATTGTTTTGATGAACTCTAAATTCTACTTTCTCTTCAGCAGAACATGTTGGCAATTTATATTTATGGAAATCATGCAGGGCTTAGAGATTCCTCATATTTCATTAGCCAGACTTTTCAGAAACTGACCACATAGAGTATTGTGGACTTCAGGGAAAGTACCCCTTTCTCTTCTGTAAAATGCCCTGTGAGACTGTGAACTCAGTGAGGGCAAGGAGCACACCTCATCTAGGCTTTGTATCACTCCTTTCACCCAGTACTATGCTAGCTAGGCATTTGTAGGGTCAAACAAATGTCTGTTGAATTTAAGGGAATTATATGTTTTTTAAAAAAAGATACCCATCTCCAGCTCCCTCCATCTAGTCAAATTCGACCCATCTTTCAAGGATCTACTCTGGTTGCACTTCCTCTTTGAAGCCTTCCTTGATTCCCCAACATTCCCTGATCACCTTGTCTTCTGATAGAACACTCAAAGTCTTCCTACAAGTTAACACTTAGATATGAACAAGTTTTTATTCTTGTCCATCGTTTTATAGAAATTGATACCTTCTGGAACAGGAATTCTCAAAGGGTGTGTAGTGACACATTGGTTTCAGTAGGTAAACCATTCTGTCAATAGCACGTGCATGTACGAATCTCCTGACTCTTCCGTCATAATGCCAGCTTGGACAATCCACGTGCTGTGAGCACTTTGGGCAATAATAATACCATACCATGGATAAAAAAGATCCTAGATTCTGGAAGTAGATACCCTCCATGCTACGGAGGGCTAAGTCGAGAATCTAGGGTGGGTGTGGGCAGTAGGCAATGTGGCGTGGCAGAAAGAATGTTGGAGTCATCAGGAGAGTTGGGGAAGGATCCCAGCTCTAATCCTTGCCAGTGGTGTTACCCTGGGTCAGTCATTCTTCCTTCTGAGCCTCATTTTGCTTATTTTAAAACAAGGAAAATAATGTTTGTATTACTTATCTTGAAGATTAATGATGAGGAAAGTGCTTTGTAAAATTGTAAAATATCATTGAAATGTGAACTATGAGTATTACTTTTGTTCATTTATTTCAGTCAAGTCTGATTCTTTGTGACCCCACTTGGGGTTTTCTTGGCAAAGATACTGGAGTGGTTTGCTATTTCCCTTCTCCAGCTCATTTTACAGATGCGGTACCTGAGGCAAACAGGGTGAAGTGACTTACCCAGGGTCACAAAGCTAGTAAGTGTCTGAGGCCATATTTGAATTCAAGCTTTCCTGACTCCAGGCCCCTGTGCTATCCACTGAGCCACGTAGCTGTCCCTTACGTATTACTACTTAAAACAAAAGGTGATTTCATACAATCATAGGTATGGAGCTGGAAGGGATCTCAGAGGACATCAAATCCAACTCCCCCATTTTATAGATGAGGAAACAGAAGCTGAGATCGTTTAAGTGACCTGCCTAGGGCAATATAGCCAGTAAGTATCTTAGGTAGAATTCAAACCCAGGCTAATCTGAACTCTAAGCCTAGAACTCTATCTACTTGTGTCACCGCTGATAGAACTTATACTTGGAGAAAAATAAAAGTTTTAAGATTGAGCGCTGCTTTTTAACAAGAATTAAAGTGTGTCGTCTCCAACAATTCTATACCAAGGGTTATTTTGGCCTATCCATTCAATTGTTGATTATTTGATCCATTTTCAGATTGGAGATTGTAACACCCTGGGATGTCTCCAGCAGACTGTCAAAACCATCTGACACCAGTTCTTCCTCCACTGGCTAGTGGAGCAATCATAGCCTGGCCCTGACCTGGCTGAGAAGAGGAGCGAAAGGGGAACTATGAGCTTCCTGAAAGTAGAAGTTACTGGATGTTGAATCAATCATAACGGCGTTCTTCCCATTTTGATCAGAGAATAGGGTGAATCATGGCGGGAGAGAAGGTGATGGGGGAAGAGAGGAAGGGGAAAAAGATGAAAGATGCAGAAGGGGGCAGGAGATGGTAGCGATCTTGGAGGAAATCTTTGGGCAATCATTTCCTGAAAGGCTGCTTGAGGCAGAAGAATTTGCTCTTGTAAGGAGAGAGAAGGTACATGAATGGTTTCTAAGGGACAAATACATTCAGTGGCATTTTATTTAAATTGAACTATAGGGACAATAAGAGTTTAGTTCTATGTGTGTAGGAATTTTCCAAAGAAATGAACCAATCTTTCAAAATTTAAATTTTGACCATATGGGATGGAAACTGAGAGAAATGATTATTAAATAACCAAATATTGGGGAGATCTAGGAATTTTTTCCCTTCCTCATTTGGAGATTAGGTCAAAGCACAGTTCTCTGAAGGGCAGGGTGGATAATGAGATGAAATCTTGGAACTGTTACCCCACGCAATTAGAGAACCTTACAAAGAATTGAATCTAAGGTAAATTCTGGCTGTTGCTGTCCACTGAGCAGAGCCAGATGCTCTTTTGCCTAGATTGCCCTAGGTGGGGTAGTCTGGTTAAGAGGTAAGTCTCTTTGTCCAAGACTGAATGATCAGTCATGTCCCCCAGCCCTTCATTAGAATAAGCCACCCCTCATTAGAATATTCATTATTAACATTAATTTTTAACTAACCAGAGTTGATTGCTACCCTTAGAAACACCCATTCTTCCAAGGGCATATAAACATTGAGTAGGTTTCACGAGGGGTCTTTGGCATTCAAGAGTGCCACTGATCCCTTTTATTAATTATATGCTAGCATGATTAATAAAATAATAAACTATGTCTCTCAAACTTTTTATACATCACAGAACTTTCTAAATTGTAGCCCATACTTCCCTACTTCCAATGGAGAACATAGAGTATGGCATTTAACCTTCCGCTGATAACTGGTGTAGAGGGAAAAGTGTTGAATTTCAAGTTAGAGGACCTGAATGCAAATCTAGGCTCTTCTAATAACTACCTGTACCAAGTTACATGAGTCACTTAAACTCTTTGGACTCAGTTTCTTCCTTTGTAAAATTAGGAGGTTGGATTCAATCAGGGGCTATTGACCTTTCTATATGTCATGAACCTCTTTGGTAATTTGGCAAAACCTATGGCCCTTTTCTTTAAATAATGTTTTTAAATAATTGAAGGAAATGCTAAGCAGAATATCCAGTTTGTTATCTTATGTATATAAATGTGTCTTTTTCTATATGTATATGTTTTATCCTCAGTTAGAATGTAAGCTCCTTGAGGGCAGGCATTGTTTCATTTTTGTCTCTGTATTCTCAGAACTTAGCAAGGTGCCTGGCATATAGTGCTGAATAAATACTTGTTGATTGATTGCATAACAATCCTTTGAATACTTTAAACTATCTTGTCTTTGCCCTCCTCCCTTAATTTTCTTCTCCAGGCTGAATAACTTAATTTCTTTAATGTAGCTCTTCTTCTAACCAACTGCGTGAGCCCAACCAAGTCAATTCAACTCTCTAGTCCTTCCCATCTCTTCTGTGAAATGCTAGAAGATTAGTGGGCTAAAAGATCACTCAGGGACTCTAATAGCTTTAAAATTCTATGACTTTACAATTCCAGTCATATCCCACCATACAACAGACTATATTATTTCTAGTATAATGGGATTTGCCAAACAATTAATGATCATAATTCAAGCTGAAACATGAGTAAAAAGCCAAGCACCTTTGTGTTTCATGATAATCACAACAAATCATGGTCAATAAAAGCTAACCTCCTTCTATCTCTTACCGGGTAGCATTTTCCAGCGCCCTGGAGAATGATGAGTAATCTTCAGTTGAATGCTCAAGGGAATAATACCATGTAGCTGCTGCTTCAATGCTGGTTTCTGAGTCCTCTCCTCCCAGGGAATTCTGAAGAGCTTGGTAAAAGGCTGTTTTGCTACTGGTTCTGCCTTGACTTTCTTCAAATTTCTTAAAAAAATAATTTTTTTGAAAAAGGACAAGATAATGACATATTTGAATTGAAATAGTTTAAACCAAAAGCTCCCAAACCCTCTGTCAACTGACTAAATTTAATAGGTCCCTGGTTTGATTCATTTTTCCAATCTATCAATTCCCCTGAGCTAGGATTTAAATGGGGCAGAATCTTAGCTCAAGTAGTTTCATTAGGAGAGTAGAGGGCTAGAATAATAGGGAGATGACAGTCCTACCACCCTCTGCACATTACAGGGCATCTGGAAGGAGAATTCTGTTCATATCAATTCTGGCTAATCATTTTAGGTGATGGTCACTAATCATCAGGGACATGGTATAGTGGAAACAAGGACTGAACTAGGCATCAGGTAAACAAAGGGAGGAGGGAAACAAGCATTTATTAAGTGCTTATTCTGTGCCAGGCATTGTGATAAGTGCTTCAAATTTGATCCTCACAACACCCTGGGAGGTAGATGTTATTAATAGCTCCATTTTTACAGTTGAAGAAACTGAGTAAGGCAGAGGTTAAGTGACTTGCCCAGGACCACACAGTTAGTCAGTGTCTGAGGCCAATTTTGAACTCAGATCTTCTTAATTCTAGACCTAGTGCCTTATCCACTGTGCCACCCAGCTACCTTGATCAAATCTCTGCTGCTGGTTAGCAGTGTGACTTTGAGCAATTCCCAAGGTTCTGAGCCTTAGTTTCTTATCCTTAAAATGAGGGGAGTGGATTCAATTCCTAAGTCCTTCTACTTCTAATATTCAGTTGGTTCTATGATCCTAAGCATACTTTCAGAAAGTTGAGCCTCATACATAAAGGACCAACTTGCCCAGGTAAGATGTGTCTTCATCCCAAACAATCAATGACCTGTGCTGAAAATACTCTTTAAGATGGAATTGACACACTAATCCCCAAGGTGGCACCAGGAACGAGTCAACAGAGAAATAAATCTCTCCTTATACAGAGGAGGAATTACCAGCTGGTGGATCTAATATTTCAGGATTCTAGATAAGACAAGTAAAAACAGAACTCTCATCTGCTTAGGTTAGCCCCTCTCAGGTTACTCTCCATCTATTCTGTATGTATCATGTAGGTACCTATCTATAGACATTATGTCTCTTGCATTAGAATGTAAGCTCCTTGAGGACAGAGACTATTTTTGCTTTTTTCCTTTCTATCCCCCATTGCTTAGTCCAATGCCTAGCACTTAATAAAATGTTTATTGATTGGGAAAATATTCTTGGTTTTGTTTGCCTCTTTTATCTACCTATCTCTATAAGGACATTCTCAAAGTCTGTCTAAAGAACTTTGGAATTGATTATGAGACATGGGAGACTGGCACAAGACCACCCAGTATGGCGTGCCCACATTAAAGAAGGTGTTCTGCTCTATGAGCAAAGCAGAATTGCAGTAGCTCAAAAGAAATGTGAGATATACACATTTAGAGACATCTCCACTCCAAACTATTTGAGTCTGGCCTGTGGTAGAGCCTCCTGATTTTGTTTGGTCTGATCAGCCTTGGTCAGACACACTAATAATACCTTGACCCCAACATAGTGATGTCATTTTGGTCCTCTTTGAGAATGAAAGACAATCAATCAATCTATCTATCTATCTATCTATCTATCTATCTATCTATCTATCTATC